AGTACAATGTATGTATAACATACGAAATGTGTAGACATTATGTATAACAGAAAATGATTTTGAAATTTTATAGCGGATTATTTTATTTATTAAAACAAAAAGTAGTTATTTTCGAACTCATTGTCTGACAATCAAGGAGGCGTAACCTCCTTTATTGTCAGACAATAAATTGAAAGTCAGAATTGAAAAATTTTTTGTGAAATTGTCATATTTAATAAAAACAAATAAATTAACTTTTGGAGATCTCAGTAACTGGATCTTTGTTAACATTGTATAACCGCTTTTGGCCTTTGGCCCATACCCCTTCAGCTATTTGAAAACATACAATAATAAGTTTACAATTAAAATCAAATCAATTCTTGATTTTCTCATAAGGGCATGTCGCTTGTGCATAATTCATATTATAATACAGTCTCACTTTCAGTTGGCTTGTTTAGAAGCCAAAATAAATAGTGGAAGGCAGTATAAGGCTCGATTTCCGATTTTATATTTTTGACTATATTTAAAAAGCTATTCGACAGAATTTCATGAAATAAATATATTTCAGTCTTGTTGATCAATTATACCTGATAAACATTGATTGTGGAATCAGGTCCCAGAAAAATGTCATAATATTTTTTTCAACATTATCGCTATAAAGTAATACGTTAATATATTTATTAAAATTTTGTACTAATTGTGTACTACACCACCCAAAATGCGGTCGGAAATGTGATGACCACAGCCGATTTTTTTTTAAATCATGAGTGGTAAGGTGAATTTCGATATTTATATACATTATGACCATATTTATGCACACATTTCTTACAAAGTTGAATATAATACTGTAGGAGCAAAAAACTTAATATATGTGCAAAAAGTATAGAGAAATGAAATCTAATCATATAATAAAATTACTTCAAGTATTCAAGCTTGATATTAAAAGCTCTTCGATAATTAATTAATTGCATCTTTGTGAATGTGTGTGCATGAATATACAATAATTGTTAATGTTTACTTAAAATTATAAGGAATGCAAATAAAATTGTGAAAATTATACAAATTCAATATTTACTCCTTATAATTATACATACATATATGTTTATACATATATTAATAATTATAAAAATGTAAAATGTATTGACTTGCAAATAGAAATTAAATTTAATGCGTTTGTCACACTCTGACTAAGGTATAAGTTAACGCAACTACGTTGCTTGATATTATATTTACATATGTATGTATTTAAGCGTATATTGTCGATAAGAAATAATTTTAGATTTTTATTGGTTTCGCAAAGTAAAGAAGATTAGAAATTAAACTTTGTAAAATTTCTTTGTCCTTAAAATTGCCTTAATTAATGCTGCTCCTTAAATGTTTAAGTCAAAATTATAACAGTTATCAATTAAAGGAATAAGTTTCATAAAATAATTAAAAAAACGAAGTAGAACACTTTTTATATTTTCGTGTTTTGAGAGTCTTATTCCTAAGCATTAATAAAACCCTCAACTCTAAATATAAAAATTCAAAAATACTTGCCGGTAATAGAAAAGAAAACTAATTTTCGACCAGTTAATTTGAAAAATTTATTTAGTTTTGCTTTTGATAGCTTATAGAATAATAATTTATTTACAAAAATTTCAATTATTGTGAAATTCTTATTATGTTTTATTTATTGTCCACACCTACACATAAAATTTGCGTTTATTTTTTTATTTCAAAACAAAATTTTATACATAGTTAAAAATCAATTCAAATAGACAGTTGTATGTTTAATATTTATTTGCCGGTGTTATACAAACTTATGTTTATGTTATATAATATTTTTCTTGACGTAACATAAATAAATTCGTTCGGACATTGGGAGCGTTATAGAAGGCGAAAAAGAGATTGATTATGAAAAGAGGTTTAAAATAGTTTTTATGACAATTAAAATTAATATTATAAAAAATGTTTAAGTATATAAACAAATATTGCAATAAATATAAGTAGCGAATCTTAAAATAACGTTTTATTGTTCGTTAACAAATATTATAGACTTAATTAGCCATCCAGTCGCGCGTTACTGCAATCTTAAAAGAAATAAAGTTATTATTCATTTGTTCTTGTGCTTTAATAAACTTCTCGATTCCACTAAGATCTTTGTCTTGATGATTATACTAAATTTTTGCGGGAACATGAGGGCTTCCACCATCATCACAAGTCTTAAATGTAAATATTAAGTGTTTCTCCTTGAATCTCTTTTTCGGGACTTACTTCTATTCTATAAAGATTAATACTTCGTTATAGCATTTTAATTATTTCATATGAGTATGTTAAGAGAAACTTATTTTCCCTAAATAATCTAACAGTTTTTACAAAATTTCGGAAAAAATAATGAATTTCATTAAATTGAATATTTATTCCGATATTTTATGAAGTTTAGAACTTGGGTTTTTTATGAGGCGTTTTGTTTATTTTATATGCAATTAAAAAATAATTCTTTTATTTCTTGTTAATAAAATTATTGATATATGTATGTATGTAAGTATAGTTTAATCAAAAGTTTTTTATTGATAAGAATTTTATAATCAATATAAAGAAATTTTATCAATATTTCCTATAATTATATGAAATTTAAATAAAATAATTTTGTATTTTACGTACCTAATAATGCAATGAATGATAAGATATGAAAGTTAGACCGTTACAGGGGTAATTTTGTAAAGTTTCATCTGAACTAAATATTAAGAGAGTGTTAAAAATAATGTTCTTTTGGACATTGGGTTTGCCTATGGTAGCAGTTTGCGCAAAAAATCAGACGAAAGCATAAATTTTATCTTAATCTCTTTAAAATCGTGAATATTTCATGTAAAACTAACAAAGTACATACATACATATTGAAAGAAATTTATTTGTTTTAATAATTTTGATTTGTTTACATTTATTATGATCATATTGTAAATTGTATGTACGTACACACATATATTATAAAAACAAACATAAATTTGTATATTACGTTAATTGGGAAAGCATTTTTGTATAAAAATTCTTACAAACTTACATGTTTTCAAGTTGCACGTTTTCTGTGAGTAAATTTTTTAACTATGTTTGTGTTTGTGAGAAATTACACAAAATGAGAATGTTGTACGTTTTGTCTGACTACCGTATGCCTACAAATTATACCTACATACAAAAAAAAATCTCAGGAACTATGGAAGCAAAATAAATAGAAAGTTTTTAATATAAAAAGGGTAGAAAATTGCTTAGAAGATTCTCGGGCTGAAAGTCGATTATTTACTTAAGGAGCTTAGCTTTTGATAGGTAATAAACTAATGAATAACAGTGAAGTAGCATAGCAGACTTAGTGGTGACATAAACACTTGAAGTGTAAGGAACAATTTATATTAAGTACAATTTGTTAAACATTAATTAGTATTATTATTAGCATTATTATTATTATTACTTTTGTTATTATTTTTGATAAATCTTAAGGTTTACTTACAACTTTATAAAGTTGCCTTAAACCAACGGTTTGTAATGTAGCACTTTTCCCTTCAACAAGTGAAAATACTGCTTTTAAACACAATCTAGCTATATACTACCACGTTATTAAATTTACTTTCATTCATATTCGAATATATTTTAAAGATTGCATACATTTAGGGTAATCAATGTGCACAATCTTTGCCTACATTGCATACATTTAGGATAACATACATTTAGGATTTCGTACATTTAGGGTAACCAATGTCTGCAATCTTTGAAATAAAATGAAAAAAAAAATTAAAAGAGGCATTAACAGTATGGTCGAACTTCCTTGGATTAATTGCGTGAGTTGAGAAAAATAGTTATACTTCTTTAGATGGCATGGTGTTTATCGTTAGCTCTCTGTATTTATAGAAATTTTGAAAAGCTTACATATGGAAAAACTCGTAAATATAAAGAGCAAAAAATTCGAATTTTACAATTTTCTGGAGGCGATAACTTGAGATGGGGTGGGATGGAAGTAAACTATTTATTAGTGTATAAAAGCTGCTAAAATTTCAGATTTCTACAACTTGAGGTCTACATTCTTGTTTTTCTAAACAATATTTTGTTTACTACATTTTTTCTAAACAATATCAAAAATTTTAGATAACCGTAAATTTCAGCGATTATATTGTTTTTTTTAAAGTTTAAATATGATATAAAAGTTATAGATGCGGTAAAAGAAGCAAAACATTACTGTTCTGCGATTGCAAAATTTGAAAAATGCATATGGTTATGCTGCAATAAATAGTTGAAAAATGACACTTTTAGGATTTTGGGAGGCTATAACTTTTAGAAAGAGAAGATATGTAAAAATTTTCTTCCTTTTTCTAGTAAAAAATTCTAATTGCGTAGTAGAAAGAAAAACAATCACTTACATTACTTGTTTTTCAATGAGTAATCATGGATGGAATTTTTTATTATATTCGCTTTTAAAAGATTTCTAATGATTCTAACGTAATACCTAATAAATTGTATCTTTGATTATGTAACGTAATTAATTATCCGGCAATGTTTCAGAATAACCAGTCATTTTCTGATTTTTCAATGCTATAAACGCAATTAACAAATTATAACATCATTTTAACGCTTTAAACATATTATGGAACATAGTATGTACATATATCGGTGTTTACGTTGCAGAGAGTAAAAATTAAATTCGCTCATATTTTAAAATAAAGCTTTTTTTTACAATTTTTCAAAAAATAAACAATTTCAACTTAATTCATATATGTACATACTCGTACATAATTTGACGTAATATTTCGATATTATGTACAAGCACACACATACCATATAACACGTTTGTTGAGTGAGACTTCTAATTGATTACGATTTTCAATATCTGTAGTTTTGTATTTTATTTTTATATGCGCATTAGAGTTAGATTATAACGTTGTTAGAATATTAATAGTATTTATTAGAATAAAAAGAATTGAAATTTATGAATGTTTGAAAATTTTATTCTAAATAAATTTTTCTCCTTTTGAGTTCCAATTAGTTGATTTTAGAATTTGATAGAGCATACTACATAAGTTGCAATTTTAAATATCAGAAGAAAATTATTGGAAAATCAAAAATGTGGTTAGAAATTAGTATTGGTATAACAGTTATTATCTTCCTTATTTATAAACGAGTAACATCAAAATTTGATCATTTTGAGAAAATTGGAATTCCTTATGTAAAACCAATGCCTGTATTCGGTAGCTTTCCTGGATTCGTATTTAAAAGAGAATCTCTACGAGAAGAATTTCTTCGCAAATATTTAGAATTGAAAGATCAAAAGTAAGTATTTTGAAATTTTTATAAATTGGAATTTTCATTAGTAGGTATAAGGACAATCATAAATGAAACTTATTTTTAATTCTAGAGTTTATGGTATGTTTGCTGGTGGCGATCCAATATTGGTCATTAATGATTTAGAAATTTTGAAAAAAATCACTATTAAAGATTTTGAATATTTCAAGAACCACTTTAGTTTTGTTGATGCAGAAGACGACCCTCTTTTTGGCAACTCAGTATTTGCAATGAAGAATGATAAATGGCATGATATGAGAACAACTTTGAGTCCAGCATTTACAGGAAGTAAAATGCGTTTAATGTTTCAGCTTATATTAGAGACTTGTGAGAAAGCAGTTAAATATTTAGAAAAAAATATTACAAATAGTTCAAATTCAAAAGAAGGAGTTGATTTCCAAATGAAAGACTTTTTTACTTTATATACAAATGATGCCATTGCATCGACAGCCTTTGGCTTAGATGTTAATTCTTTAGAGGATAATGATAACGAATTTTACAAAATGGGAAGGAAATTGATTACATTTTCGACGTGGGACATCATCAAATTTGTCCTTTACAGTACTTGTAAAAGATTTTTTCGGGTTTGTTTCCATATTATATTGAAAAAAAAATTTAGTTTTATTAATTGAATTTAAATATTTAATTACAGTTGCTAGGTTTTAAACTATTTAACGCAGCATTTACTACTTATTTTAATCGTTTGGTAATTGATGCAATGAAATATCGTAAGGAAAATAATATCGTGCGTCAAGATATGATAAATATGCTGATGGAAGCACAATCAAATCCAGAAAAATCACATAATCGTGAATGGACAAATTATGAATTAGTTGCACAATGTTTTATATTTTTGTTTGCTGGATTAGAATCAGTTTCTACAACATTATGTTTTGCAACGCATGAGTTAATAGAACATCCTGATATTCAAGAAAAATTACGTCAAGAAGTTGATTCAGTAAATGAGGAATTAAATGGAAAACCATTAACTTATGAAGCAATAAAAAAAATGAAATATATGGATATGTTTATGTCAGAAGTTTTAAGAATATGGCCACCATTTGTTCAAGCTGATCGTCAGTGTACTAAACCATATAGAATTGAAGTAGATGATAAAGTAATAAATTTAAATGTTGATGATGTTATTTGGATCCCAATGATTGGTTTACATTTAAATGAAGAACATTTTGCTGAACCATTAAAATTTGATCCTGAAAGATTCAATGATGAAAATAAACCTAATATCAAGCAATTGTCTTATGGACCGTTTGGTTATGGACCTAGAATATGCATTGGTAAGTATTAGTAGTAATTTATGTTGACTTACAACAATCTGTAAAAATTATTTTCATATATCCAGGATCAAGACTAGCATTACTAGAATGTAAAGCGATATTGTTTTATATATTGAAAAATTTTGAGCTGGTTAGGTCAGAAAAAACTAAAATGCCAATCGAATTAGAGCCTGTTAATTTTCCAGTTTCAATAAAAGGTGGATTTTGGTTAAAAATGATACCAAGGAAATGAAAAAGGAATTTTTAATCAAATTGTGATACATTAGGTATTTAAAATTTATATACCTACCTATGCCATAACGTAAAATATTTATGTGTTTGTACAAATTAACATGTTCAATATTTTGTAAAATGTGTTCAACTAATTTTGTTTGTTTCTGAATAAACTTTCTATCATAACGAATTATTTCACTTATTATACATAATCTATTTATAAATTTATTTGCTTTCCTACAATAATAAATACGATTATATTTTGCTGGAGCCATAAAATTAATACCAAATGATTCGAAAAGGAGACTCTCTAAAACAATAACACTTACTATGTACTCATAGAAATTTTTGAAGTTTTTTTTTACAAGAGAATTAAACAAAGAGAATTCGGAATTTCACAAATACCGAAAGTTTTTTTTAAGAAATTTAAAATTTTCTTAGAAAATTAAATTTGGTAAAGTTAACACTTTTGATTATTTGTTCAAAAAATGAAGAAAAATTTGTAAACAAAAACTTCACACTTATTTTCATTAATAAGAGCAATATTGATTTCTTTACTTATGTTTGGGTAAAACAAAAGCTGTTTTTTAAATGAGAGACCAAAACATCACACCCACATCTTAGAATGAAAACTATTGTGGCCTATGGACATCGATTTTCGCTCTCAAGTCTTATGCATATCTAAAAATATGTATTTATTATTTGAGTAATTTTGGTTTTGCTTTGTTATGTAATTGGTGAAGAATTATAAGTGATTTTCGAGCGATATCTAAATATCTAATCTCGAGCAAAATCTTCATCATATTGTTCACACTATTAGACGAAAACATACTGGATTTTGACCTTTTACACTTTTGTAAAAAAAGAAAGTAAATACTGTAGACATTTTTCGAAATTCATAATATTGTAGATCAAAGAAAACCTTTATGTTTTTTGTAAGAACGTTTTTAAATTGACCCATACGCACACGTTTGTTCTCTTAATGTCCATGCCGATATTTTTCAGACCTAAATATCACCTTTATGTGTTTGTAATCAACTTGCTCTTGCATAATTTAATAGCATTTTTAACCTTAACAGTTAATACTCTTTTGAGCAAAGTTTAGTCAATTTAGATCTCTTGTTTGGGCATGTTGATGTTCATGTAGAAAATTATTAAAACATAATTTATAATAATATCATAGGAAAATAATTTTGTAAATCTAAAATGTGGTTAGAAATAATAATTATTATATTACTTATCATATTTTTAATTTATAAACGTTTAACATCAAAATTTGATTATTTTGAGAAATTGGGAATTCCATATGTTAAACCAAAAATTCTATTAGGTAGTTATCCTGGATCTATGTCAAAGAAACTATCTCTTCGCGAAGAATTTCTACGAAAAAATTTAGAATTCAAAAATCATAAGTAAGTATTTTGTTATTTTTATTATTTTTTTTTCATTTCACCTATTTTAAATTTATTTATGTAGCAGGTGCTTAAAATTCAATGAAAAAAATGCCAAATATGCATATGTAGGTACTTTCAGAGCTATTGGTTCATAAGTAACATTTGTACACATGTACGTAAACAAAACTCATTCTGATGTGTAACTTGTGATGTAAAACTTAGATCAGTAAATCTAGTTGATTATTCCAGAATTATGCGAAAATAAATGCCTATACCTTAACTTCTGAACAATCAAAATTTTTTCAAGTGGCAATTGATAAATTGTTATGACTAATGTCTTTAGATATGTTGTTCTTATGATGAAATTTGTATTAAATTTTTGGTTCTGTCATATGGATGAAGTTCAATTTTGCCAAATTAAAATAGTTTTTTTTTTATGTTAAGCTGCAAAATAAATCTTTTTCTTTCGCATGTGCCTTCGCAGTTGTTTAGGTGTTATGATTAATTTGTTTATGTTTGCCTGAGTTCAAAAAGGTAAATGAACTTTGAGAAATCTGTTTACATTAGAGCTTTTTCATTTACACGAATTTCCAATCTATGCAAATACATACATATGTATATACATATGTACACGCTTTTTAAAAAGCGCTCCTTATAAAAGTTACGAAAATATTTAAAAAATAGCAATTTCTTACTGAATTAAGTAAAATTGCGTAATACTTTTCAAATTTTAAGGCTAGTTCAAGAAGTGTATTTCAATTGTTACCGAATTATCAAATTTTCATATAAAACGCAATGTTGAGTAATTAGAAAAAAAATTACAATTTCCTTTTATATTACAGAGTTTATGGTGTTTTTGCTTTCGGAAGTGGTGATCCAATTTTTGTTATTAATGATTTGGAAATTTTAAAAAAAATTACAATAAAAGATTTTGATTACTTTAAAAATCATTTTAATTTTGTTGAACCAGAAGATGATCCACTTTTTAGAAAATCACTTTTTGCCATGAGCGATGAAAAATGGCATGATATGAGAATGACTTTAAGTCCAGCATTTACAAGAAGTAAAATGCGTTTAATGTTTCAGCTTATATTGGATATTTGTGAGAGAGCTGTTAAATATTTGGAGAACAGTATTAAAAACGATCCAAATTGCAAAGATGGTGTTAATTTTGAAATGAAAGATTTTTTTACATTATTTACAAATGACGCAATTGCATCAGTGGCATTTGGTTTAGATGTTAATTCTTTAGAGGATAATAATAATGAATTTTACAGAATGGGTAAAAATTGTATGACATTTTCAACATGGGACGTAATCAAATTTGTGATGTATGGTGCAAGTAAAAAAATTTTTCGGGTGTGTTTTAAAAATTTCGTTCAAAAAACAAAATCTAAATTTCAATTATTTTTTTTTATAGCTCCTCGGTTTGAAAGTTTTTAAAAAAGAATTTAGAGATTATTTTTATCGTTTAGTTGTGGATGCAATGAAATACCGTAAAGAAAATAATATTGTTCGACAAGATATGATTAATATGCTAATGGAAGCGCAATCAAATCCAGAAAAACCACATAATCGTGAATGGACAAATGAAGAATTAGTTGCACAATGTTTTATATTTCTATTTGCTGGATTAGAATCTGTTGCTACAACTTTATGTTTTGCAACTCAAGAGTTAATTGAACATCCTGATATACAAGAAAAATTACATCAAGAAGTTGATTCAGTAAATGAGGAATTAGATGGAAAACCATTAACTTATGAAGCATTACAAAAAATGAAATATATGGAAATGTTCATATCTGAAGTTTTAAGAAAATGGCCACCATTTACACAATCTGATCGTATAGTTACTAAACCATATAAAATAGAAGTTGATGGCATCGAATTAAATTTAAAAGTTGATGACATTATTTGGATACCAATAGTTGGTTTGCATATGAATGAAGAAAATTTTCCTGATCCATATAAATTTGATCCAGAACGATTTGATGATGAGAATAAGCCAAAAATAAAACAAATGTCTTATGGACCATTCGGGTTTGGACCTAGAGCGTGCATTGGTAAGTCATACTTTAGCATACTGATTTGCATATAAATAATTTTTCTATTTTGTATCTAGGATCAAGATTAGCATTACTAGAATGTAAAGCAATATTGTTTCATATATTAACAAATTTTGAGCTTGTTATGTCAGAGAAAACCCAAATGCCAATTGAATTAGAACCTGTTAGCTTTCCAGTTTCAATAAAGGGTGGATTTTGGTTAAAAATGATGCCAAGAAAATGAAAATACGAGTATTTTTAAATTTTGAATAAGTTGGTGTAGTCGCAAACTTTTATTTTTTGTGATGCTTTGAGTATTTTAATGCATATTTTATTATGTAAAATAACAAACTATATCCCTAGTTCTATTTAATTAACAATTAATTTTTTAAATACGTAAACTCATTTATAATATTAACAAATACATTTTATATTTTTATGAAAAACTACATGTTTTATTCTAAGTCAAAGTACGCTATAAATTAACGAAAAAATACTTGAACGGCAAAACACCTATACTCACTTTGAGTTGCTTCTGTTATTATTGCAAATTTTTTCCCTGTTCAAATTAAAAACTAGTATGAGTACGAGGAACATGTAGAAAAAATTATAATTTCAAGTAAGCTTTAATAAATAAACAATATAATAAAAATTTATATTCTCTTACGTAAAATAATCGATCTTTACTACTACATGAATTTTGCGCAAGTCTAAAGAGTAAATTTTATAAACGATTCATATAAATATTAGTAACAATTGTAAAATTAAGATCAGTTAAATAGGTGGATGGTAGTGAGATTTACAACATTTTTCAAAAATTTTCTTAATCGCCTATATTGAATAAAATACGAAAATGTGGTTAGAAATAAGTATAGCTGCTTTAATTATTGGCTATATCATTTACAAACTGTTAACATCTAAATTTGATCATTTTGAAAAGTTGGGAATTCCTTATGTTAAGCCAATAATATTAATAGGAAGCATTTATGGATTTGTATTTAAAAAGGAATCTTTTCGTGAAGAATTTCTTAGGAAATACAAAGAATTTAAAGATGAAAAGTAAGTATTGAATTTTATAATAAATTTAAGTTACATTTTTAAGTTTTGATTATCTTATACATTTACTTTATATGCTATAAAGTAAATAATGATAATATAAGAGAAACATATTGTGTATACATACATATATAAAGTACGAGAATAGAAATGAAAAGTTTCTCTCAATCCGAATACAATATGTTTTATCGCAAATATTTTTGTATACCAATACCTAGGACAGAGTTTGATAATTTGGTCTTAGGAATATTAGGGTTTTATATTCAAGCGAATATTGGCATTAAAATGTAAAATTTTACGTTAAAATTAACATTGATAACACAATTAAAAAAATATTCTTTAATTAATTTATTGATTACTTTGTTATCAATATTTAATAAAATATAATAAAAGCCTCTGTAGATAAATAATGTTTATTTACAAGGGAGATTTTCAAAATATTGGAATTACTGCAATAAAGATAAAAATTTTAAGAAAATAATTGAAAATTTAAAAATTTAAGACCTATTTTAAAAATATTAAATATAGTAATAAGAAAAATTATTGTACAAATTCTTACTTATATATAGAGCTTTTGGGATATTTGAAGGAAGTGATCCAGTTTTGGTCATTAACGACTTAGAATTATTGAAAAAAATCACTGTCAAAGATTTTGAATATTTTAAAAATCATAAATCATTTACCGATGCCGAAGATGATCCACTTTTCGGAAATTCATTATTACAATTGAATGATGATAAATGGCATGATATGAGAACAACTTTAAGTCCAGTATTTACAGGAAGGAAAATGCGTTTAATGTTTCAACTTATATTGGATATATGTGAAAGAGCCGTCAAATTTTTGGATATTAATATAAAAAATAAATCAAATTCAAATGAAGGTGTTGATTTCGAAATGAAAGATTTTTTTACATTATATACAAATGATGCTATTGCATCGACAGCATTTGGTTTAGATGTTAATTCTTTAGAAGATAATAATAATCAATTTTATAGGATGGGAAAACAAATGATATCATTTCCTTTAACAGAAATGTTAAAATTTCTTTTATATAATACATTTAAAAAAATTTTCCGGGTTTGTTTATTATTTTAACAAAATTTATTTCTGTTTTTCATAATCAGTAATGCTTTTTTTTATTTTTATAGTTCTGTGGAATTAAGATGTCCAGAAATACTTTTAATAATTATTTTTATAAATTGGTAGTTGATGCAATGAAATATCGTAAAGAAAATAATATTGTACGCCAGGATATGATTCATATGTTAATGGAAGCTCAATCAAATCCAGATAAATCACATGATCGTAAATGGACAAATGAAGAATTAGTTGCACAATGTTTTATTTTCTTATTTGCTGGTTTAGAATCAGTTTCGACAACACTTTGCTTTGCTACACAAGAATTAATTGAAAATCAAGATGTACAAGAAAAATTACGTCAAGAAATTGATTTGGTAAATGAAAAATTAAATGGTGGTCCATTAACATACGAAATATTAAATGAAATGAAATATATGGATATGTTTATGTCAGAAGTTTTAAGAATATGGCCACCATTTATTCAAACTGATCGCATATGTACAAAACCATATAAAATTGATGAAGATAATTTAAAAGTAAATTTAGAAGTTAATGATATTGTTTGGATACCAATAGTTGGTTTACATTTAAATGAAGAACATTTTTCAAATCCATTAAAATTTGATCCAGAAAGATTTAATGATGAAAATAAATCGAATATTAAACAAATGTCTTATGTGCCATTTGGTTACGGACCTAGAATATGCATTGGTAATTTTAATGCTTTCGTTTAATATCTAATTAAGTTTTGGTTTTTAATTTGTTGAAATAATTTTAGGATCAAGATTAGCTTTATTGGAATGTAAAGCAATTTTATTTTATATTCTAAAATCTTTTAAACTTGATGTATCAGTGAAGACTAATATACCTGTTAAATTGGCACCAGTTGGTTTTCCAGTTTTAGTTCAAGATGGATTTTGGTTAAAAATGATACCAAGAAAATAAAAGAATTTGTAAAAATTTATTAATCTAATTTATTGTTTATGATGTTAAATTATTTTGTTTCCTGTCTTTGGTTACCTTGATTGAGCAACGTTTTAGTAATGGTAGCCTTATAACTTTATAGTACGTAATTAAGTAATACTTTGTGGCATGTGCTCAATACATACTTTTAATTAATATCAATGCTGTAGTATAGTGAGAGCTTAATTGCTGCAACTTGATGAAAATATTGATCATGGTTCGTTCACCGACCCATGACTATTTTTAAGGAAAATTTTGAGATAAAATTTTTTCGTTTTGTATAAACTTAATATGTTTTAACAAGCAAAACTTAAACACCTACCAGAAGATACCGTAGGCGTAGGCAATTGACGGTATTAGACGTTGCTAGAGTTTTAAAATTACAGCTGTAAAATTTTTTTTTTTTTGGGGTATAATTGTATAACAAAATTCATTTCAATTTTCGGAAAAGCTCTTTAAACATACACCAATATATTTATATAATCTTAAGGACAGTGTGTACAAATGTAATATGAGTGCTTATTTAAACATGGAGAAAATTTAAAAATTTGAAAACATTTCTGACTCTTAATTAAATATTGTTAAAAATACACACATACACACTAAAAGTACATGTGTACATACATACATACATACATACATATATGATATAATAAATTTAATTTTTGAACTGATTAACGAAAAGCTTTACAAAAGCATTTAAAATATGCCGCTATTATTCCATTTAAGCAATAATAATTACACTTCATATAATTTCAATTTTAGTCTAATATTGGCAAAGATCTCGCAACGAGTATTGCAAATATTCCCGCAAATAATTAATATAGAGAAAACAAAAAATGTTGTTGGAAATAAGTATCGCAATCGCTATCATCAGTTTTCTGAGTTATAAATGGTTAACTGCTAAGTTTGATCATTTTGAAAAACTCGGTATACCGTACGTAAAGCCGGTGGTATTACTTGGAAGCTTTACTGGAATGGTGTTTAAAAGAGAATCATTTAGGGAAGAGTTCCTGAGGAAATATGAGCCTTTTAAAAATGAAAAGTAAGTTATTGTAAAAATGTGAGTAAAAAATTATTCATGTAGTTCGATAATATGTAAAAATTAAGCTTAATTATTTTGTATTATAATAGTTTTGTATAAATTTTAAATATTATATTTTCAAAACCAATTTAATAATTATAATAATAATTAAACTGTTATACATAATATTATAGTATAACTGTTATACATGTTACACTGTTCTTTTAGTAAAAAAATGTAGGCATATAGGCAAATTTCGTGCTCCATTTTGGAAACTTCAGAATTTGATTATAATATATATTTTCAGAATTTACGGTGTATTTGAGGGAAGAGACCCAATGTACGTAGTTAACGATTTAGAATTATTAAAAAAAATTACCATCAAAGATTTTGAGCATTTTAGAAACCATAAAGGTTTTGTTGAAGCTGAAGATGATCCCCTTTTTGGCCATTCTTTGTTTTCGATGAAAGATGATAAATGGCATGATATGAGGACAACTTTAAGTCCGGCATTTACAGGAAGGAAAATGCGTTTAATGCTTCAACTCATATTGGAAACATGTGAAAAAGCTGTAAAACATTTAGAAAGTAATATTAAAAGCAAACCAAATCCGAAAGACGGTATTGAGTTCGAAATGAAAGAGTTTTTTTCACGATTTACAAATGATGCAATTGCATCGGTGGCATTTGGTTTAGAAGTTAATTCATTAGAAGATGAGAATAATCAATTTTATGAAAAGAGCAAAAAGATAGCATCAATATCAGCAATTGAAATGATAAAACTCGTGCTATACAATATGATGAAAAAAGTTTTTCGGGTTTGTGACTTTGATTTAGATATAAAAAATACAATAGAATAATTAATTTCTTTTTCTTTTATTTGTAGCTTTTCAAGATTAAAATGCTAAATGAGGAATTTAATAATTATTTTTATAGATTAGTTGTCGATGCAATGAAATATCGAAAAGAAAATAATATTATAAGAAATGATATGATTAATATGTTAATGGAAGCTCAATTAAATCCAGAAAAATCTCATGATCGTGAATGGACAAATGAAGAATTAGTTGCACAATGTTTTATTTTCTTATTTGCTGGGTTAGAATCAGTTTCGACAACATTATGTTTTGCAACACAAGAATTAATTGAAAATCTGGATATACAGCAAAGGTTAAGAGAAGAAATTGATTTAGTTAATGAAAAATTAAATGGTGGTCCATTAACTTATGAAACATTAAAAGAAATGAAATATATGGAAATGGTACTTTCAGAAGTATTAAGAAAATGGTCACCATCTATAATTTCTGATCGTATATGTACAAAAGAATATAAAATTGATGAAGATGATATTAAATTGAATTTAAATGTTGGTGATGCAATATGGTTACCAGTTGTAGGATTACATTTAAATGATCAACATTTTCCGGAACCATATAAATTTGATCCAGAACGATTTAGTGAGGAGAATAAAGGAAATATAAAACCAATGTCTTATGCACCATTTGGATTTGGTCCTCGAGGATGCATTGGTAAATTCATTTTATAAATATTGTTTTTTTTTTTCAATTATAAATTGATAAAAAAAAATGCATACTTTTGTAGCATCAAGATTGGCATTGATGGAATGTAAAGCAATTCTATTTTATATTTTAACAAATTTTGAGCTTTGTGTTAGTAAGAAAACGAAAATTCCTGTTGAATTAGAATCAGTCAGCTTTACTGTATCAGCAAAAGGTGGATTTTGGTTGAAAATGATACCAAGAAAATGAAAAAAATTTACATACATGCGTATATTTGCTCTTATTTGAAATGTGCTGTTGTTTTTTTTTTCTGTTGTAAATACATTTTTTTGTGAAAATAAACATGTTACACATAGTTTTGTTACTTACGAAATAATGATATTTAAAGAACAATAGAAGATATAAAGAAGGAATACTACGTATATGAGCATTTAGGTATTAAAAATTAAATAGACGTATATAATTATAATTTATAGCAAATTCTTTGAATTTCAATTAGTTAGCCAGTTTAAAGCTAGTGAAAAATTAAGTTTTCACCGACAATAACTTTCCCAAAACCGCGTATAGTTTAAGTTTCGTAATATATTGAAATAGAACTTAGAACTGAGAATAGGTTTAATTTCTGTAAATTTACTTGAAAATTTCAACTACCTTTAAGTTTTTGTTACTACCAGTAGATATTAAATTTGTACAATTATGGTAACAGTGTACGGTGACTACGTACTTATAAGGATCTATTTCATTCCTATTTATTTACATCACCACTTTCAATTAATAATGAAATAATAAAAATTAGTGAAAATTACTTTATTTATTACTTTATCAATTTGTCTCTAATTATTTGAAATTGATAACAATCCGTACAACTGTTTAATGATAAGAAATAAAACAAAAATTTTTATTAATAAAGTTGGGTCAAACCAATGGTTTGTATTGTAGCACTTTTCCCTTTAACAAGTGAAAATTCTGCTTTTAAATACAGTCTATGTGTACCTATCAAACTATTAAAATTATTTTCATTCATATATAAAACTATTTCTAGGATTGCATATATTTAGGATGAACAATTTATGCAGTCTTTGAAATAAAGCAAAAATTAATATAAAAATGGGTTAACATAATGCTCGATTTTAAGGGTTAGTTGTGTGAGTTAAGAAAAATAATTATATTTTTTTAATTCATGGAATTTACCGTTAGCTTTTTGCGTTTATAAAAATTTGAAAAAACTTGCGGTTTCGGAAATATAAGGCATCAAAAATTCAAATTTTACGAATTTCAAGAGGCGATAGCTTGAGAGGGGGTGGAGATGGAAAAAAATTTTCTTCTAACGAAATAAACTATTTGTTAATGTCTAAAAGGCCCTAAAATTTCAAAGCTCTACATTATGGGGTCTAGAAGAAAAACGACATCAAAAATTTGGAAAAAAAGAACTTTAGATAACGGTAAATTTGAACGGCCATTTTGTTTTTTTAAAATTTAACTACAGTATACCGCGCTAGGGGAAGCAAGCCACTGCCTTTCTGCGTTTGAAAAATTTTAAAAATGCTTATAGTTTCATTGCAACAAATATTTAAAAAAGGCCATTTTTAGGGCTTTGGGGGGGTATAACTTCTAGAGAGGTAAAAATTTTGTTCTACGGGAATAAGTTTTTAGTGAAGATCTATGTACGTATGAAATTTCAGCTTTCTATCTTCAAGGGTGTAGAAGTTTTGTAAACAAAAAAAGTGTCCACGGACGGACGGACGGACGGACGGACGGACGGACGGACAGAGTGAAACTAATAAGCACTTTTTTCAAAAATTTTTTTGGAAAAGTGCTAAAAAGTAAATACAACAATGTCAATTATTCCACTAGTATTATTATTTTTGAAAATTTTCAATTTATAAATTAAAAATTTTTGAGACACATACAATAGGATAAAAATATACGTACTTCCGTATTATCAACAATCACGCTTATTTCGTTATTATTATATAAAAGCAAATCTCACTTCTCGATAATTCTCGTACGCATTACTTACTGCTCAATACGACAATGCGTCTAGTAAGTGAGATAATAAAAACTTTTAATTTTCATTTGGTGTAAATTATTAAAATATGTAAAAAATAATTTATTATGTTACGTTGTACAAACAAACATTTGATTTACAAGCTTTTAATAAGAAAAGCTTTTTTACGACAAATCAATTAAGAAAAATCACTTTTTATATTTCAGAGCACTGTTCAGTTAGCTTGTTGAATTAGAAGTGTTAAGACTTAAATCGTAACAGTAATAAGTCAAAATTTTATCTTTATTAAAAATAATTTAAAAGAAGAAATAAATAGTGCTAATATACATATATAAAAGCAAATCTAATAAAACATGATAATTGAATTAAGTATCGGAATTATAATTATTGCCATTTTAATTTATAAATGGTTAACATCGAATTTCAATTATTTTGAAAAATTAGGAATCCCATATATAAAACCAATCATTATTATGGGAAGTTTCTCTGGTTTTCTATTTAAAAGAGAATCTTTACGTGAAGAATTTTTAAGAAAATATAATGATTTTAAACATTTGAAGTAAGTTTCGGGCTACTGCCAATTTAATTCAAAACTATATTGATTTTTATTTAACAGTTTTATTGGACTTAACAGTTTTAACACAAATATACTGCATTGTTATGACAGTGTTTTCAAAAAGCAATGCGATTAAAATTGTTCAATATTCAAAATAAATAAACTTTTTATAGTAATATTTTTATAGACTCTTACTGTTATTGGTAATGCATTGTGCGTATATGTATACTTTAGAAAAAAAAAGTCTACAAACTTGATTTAAAAAGTATTGAACTTGATAAAATAACTTGATTTTAAGAACATTTCCAACGAAATTAGAAAAAATATTCTTATAAGTTTAATTTTGTTTGTCCGTCCAAATAGTCGTAAAATAATATGTTTTTGTTTTTAATTTATATTGTGTCAATTTTGCAATTTAATATTTTGTAAAATTTATAGAGATCTTGAAGTATAGTGATTTATGTATTATATCGATGTTTCGCCTACCCTGGAGATTCCATTCTAATGCTTGCTTGACTATGGTCTGTTCTGGTCTCCTAAATATGTAATCTATCCGTCTACATTTTTTCTTATTTGATTTTCTATCTTATTCTATATACATAGAACCCATAGGTCGCTGTTTCTAATGGGCCAGAATGTTCGGCATATAATGCGAAGAACTTATTTGTGAAGACCTGCATTCTGTTAATATTTTTTTTTTGTCCATGAGCTAAGTTTCATTGCCGTACAACATTTTTGAATTGACGTTCCTAGAAAGTTGTGTTTTACTAAGGAAAAATAGCATACCTATAAACAAATCTCTTAAAAATGACAAAATGACCATAGAAATTAAAAATTATAAAAACCAACAAATTTTCTGATTTTATTCCATTAATTATATTAAAAAATTTTCGTTCTCTTGCCAAAAAGTATCTTATTATTATTTCTCACTTACTTGTTAAAGAAACAAACATTAACACAAATATTTTTCAAGTGGTCTATTGTTCAGAACATCTAATAAGTTATAATCAGTTAGATGTCAACAACAATTTTAAAATTTAAAAATAAATTTTAATTACTTATTATTCTAATATAATTGTTGATTAAACTTTGACTACTTAAGTTCAAGATAAATAATAAAAGCAATAAGATTTTTCATATAATTTTATAAAATAAAAAAAAAGTTATTTCAAGTTATTAATTTCTGATAAGTTACGGAGATAAAATGTGTGAATTATATATGTACATATGTATGTACATATCTCATATCTCTCTCTCTCTCAACTAAAAAACTCTCAAGATAAAGTATTAATCTGTTGCCGATTTCATGCACATACATACTAGAATTAATTCAGACCGTAAATTCGTAATAATATAATTAATTAGATGTATAAGCTCTGCTACCTTTATGAAAATTTTCGTTAATAATAGTAGGGTTCCTCGAGACAAACAGTTCGAGGAAAAAATTTTCATTATGATTTGTAAAAGTTGTTCTAATCAAAATTTGATTCCAAAACTCTAAGATATGATTTAGAATTTTTATAATATTTCAATTATTTGTATGAATTTATTATAATATAGTAGAAGCTTAATCTATATAATTAAAAAGTAATTTATTTTAAAAAAGTATTTTATTTTTATTTATTAAAGTAATAACTGCCTTCCCTAAATTTTCCTTTCAGAGTTTTTGGTGTTTTTGACGGACATCGTCCGGTTTTAGTAATCAACGATTTAGATTTATTAAAAAAAATTACAATTAAAGATTTTGAATATTTTAAAAATCATAAAAGTTTTGTTGATCCTGAAGATGATCCAATATCAGGAAATTCATTATTTGCACTTAAAAATGATAAATGGCATGATATGAGAATAACCTTAAGTCCAGCATTTACTGGTAGTAAAATGCGTTTAATGTTTCAACTCATTTTAGATGTTTGCAATAAAGCTGTTGAATATTTAGAAATAAATGCTAAAGAAAATTTAAAATCAGACGGAGGCTTTGAATTTGAAATGAAAAAATTCTTCACTTTATGTACTAATGATGCAATTGCATCAACAGCTTTCGGTTTAGAAGTAAATTCATTAAAAGATAAAAATAATGAATTTTATAAAATGGGACAAAAATTTGTTACGTTCTCTACTTTAGATATTATTAAATTTGTTGTTTATGATACATTTAAAACAGCATGTAAGGCAAGTGTTTATAATTTAAATTTAATATTAAAGCACTAATTTGGTTTTAATTATATGCACATTTTAATACGAGTATTTTGTAATTGATAGTTATTTGGATTTAAACCAGTTGATCAAGCATTTAATAATTATTTTTATCGTTTGGTTGTTGATGCAATGAAATATCGTAAAGAAAATAATATTATTAGGCAAGATATGATTAATATGTTAATGGAAGCTCAATCAAATCCAGAAAAATCACATAATCGTGAATGGACTAATGAAGAATTAGTAGCACAATGTTCAATATTTCTTTTCGCCGGATTAGAATCAGTTTCAACTACATTATGTTTTGCAACACAAGAATTAATTGAACATCCTGATGTTCAAGAAAGATTAAGAGAAGAAATTGATTCTGTTAATGAAAAATTAAATGGTGGTCCATTAACTTATGAAATATTAAAAGAAATGAAATATATGGAAATGGTTGTTTCAGAGGTATTAAGAAAATGGCCACCATTTATACAATCTGATCGTGTATGCACAAAACCTTATGAAATAGATGAAGATGATTTAAAATTAAAATTAAATGTTGATGATGTAATATGGATACCAATAGCTGGTATACAAATGAATGAAAATAATTTTGAAAATCCAACAAAATTTGATCCAGAAAGATTTAATGATGAAAATAAATCAAATTTAAAACAAATGTCTTTTTCTGCTTTTGGTTATGGACCAAGAATATGTATTGGTGAGTTTTATTATCTAAAATGTTTAAAATATCAATTATATTGTGTATTCAAAATTATAAAATATAATTAAATTATTTTTGGATTTTAGGATCAAGATTAGCTCTTTTAGAATGCAAAGCACTTCTATTTTATATTTTGAAAAATTTCAAGCTTGAACCATGTAAGAAAACAAAAATTCCAGTTGAATTGGATCCTATAAATTTTCCGGTCACAGTTAAAGGTGGATTTTGGTTGAAAATGATACCAAGAAATTGATTTATATTATTTACAGTTAAGAAATTTTTTACAATTAATAATTAAAAAAATAATTGGATAATTTGAATATTTGTTACCAATTTTATATTAAACAAAAATTTATAGGCTTTAATATTAAGGGTTTTTTATATTATATGTAAATATACTCCATGTAGGTTGTAAATTGTATTTTTATTTACAATTCTTACATTAGCATAGTTAGTAAACAATATTTTTTCAACATTAAGTTCTTAAAGTAAAGTAAATTTGAAATTTTTGTGTTCATTGTTTACAAAAAAACAAGTAAAAAAGCTTTACACTTGGCGCAAAACTTTTGCTATTGCTAATATTATTATTCCTATCTTCTCAACAATCAATTGATTCAAAAATCAAGAGGTGTCTGTACATATGTATGTACATAAAATGTAGATATGTAGTAAACAGATACATACGTACATATGTATATGAAATTAAAATGATTTCATTCAGTCGTATCAAAATTATTCAGTCGTATCAAAATTGTTACGCTGTTTGTATTGCGAATTATATCGGAATAAAATGATTTTCGAAATAATTGTTGGTGTTTTAATTATTGTTTTCTTAATTTATAAATGGTTAACATTAAATTATGAATATTTTGAAAAATTAGGAATTCCATATGTAAAACCAAAAATATTTATGGGAAGTTTTTATGGATTTGTATTTAAAAAAGAATCTTTTCGTGATGAATTCCTTAGAACGTATAACGATTTCAAAAATTATAAGTAAGTATAAATGAGCACGTACAAATGATTTGTAAATATGTACATACATACATGTGTACGAGTATGTGTATATTGAATATCGTATTGAAGTGTGAATATAGGGATTATATAAATTAATATGGAAAATAAAACATATGTTTGTTAATTGTACGAAATTATAAGCATTATATATAGCAATAGTAGCTATAAATAAAAATTATAAAATTGGGATCTCCATTAAGTCTCTCTGGCATGCGTTTGGATATTATTATTACTAACCTTGGGAAATATAATTGTTTCTTTTAAATTTATTTACAAATTTTCAATATATTGAAAAAAAAATATGTTTAATGCCGGCATGTTTTTTTGAAATTCTTTTGATTCAACGTGCAAAATTCATAAAATTTTGAATTTTTTGTAGATCTGATCAACCGATTCCTGTTTACATGAGTATATTTTTTTTCTTGAAATTTGAACGCAAAAGTGCTATTTCTGAAAATTTAATGAATGTCCTAAATATTTTTATATTAATTACATATGTATATGTACATATTCCGATCATGCGATTTATTTTAAATTGTTTATATAATACGATCAAATGTTGTTTGTGTATTTAATTTTCTATATTCGTTTTTGCAGAGTCTATGGCGCATTTGAAGGCAGAAATCCCATTTATATTATTAATGATTTAAATTTGTTAAAAAAAATCACTATTAAAGATTTCGAACATTTTAAGAATCGTCGAGATCTTGTTGATCCAGAAGATGATCCACTATTTGGTAGTGCAATATCAGCTATGAAAGATGATAAATGGCATGATATGAGAGTAACATTAAGTCCAGCATTTACAGGAAATAAAATGCGTTTAATGTTCCAACTTATATTAGATATATCTGAAAGAGCTGTAAATTATTTGAAAATGCAAGTTAATACAAAAGATGGTATTGAATTTGAAATGAAAAATTTTTTTACTTTATATACAACTGATGCGATTGCATCTACAGCTTTTGGTTTAGAAGTGAATTCATTAAAAGAAAAAGATAATGAATTTTATAAAATGGGACAAAGATTTATAAATTTTTCAACTGTGGATATTATTAAATTCATGATATATTCAACTTTTAAAAGAATATGCAAGGTTTGCTAAATTTTGGGTAATTATTAATTTTTTTTACAATTTAGAAATTGTTTTTGTTTTTTAAGATTATTCGATTTAAACCAATGAATCAGACTTTTTATGAATATTTTTCTCGTCTTGTTCTTGATTCAATGAAATATCGTAAAGAAAATAATATTGTACGTCAGGATATGATTAATATGTTAATGGAAGCTCAATCAAATCCAGAAAAATCACATAATCGCAAATGGACAGACGAAGAATTAGTTGCACAATGTTCAATATTTCTTTTTGCCGGATTAGAATCAGTTTCAACTACATTATGTTTTTCAATACAAGAATTAGTTGAAAATCAAGATGTTCAAGAGAAATTACGTAAAGAAATCGATGCAGTTAATGAAGAATTAAATGGTGAACCAATAACATATGAAAAATTAAAAAGTATGAAATATATGGATATGTTTTTATCAGAAGTATTAAGAAAATGGCCACCATTTATACAATCTGATCGTGTATGTACAAAACCATATGAAATAGATGAAGATGATTTAAAGTTACAAATAAATGTTGGTGATGTGATATGGATACCAATTGTTGGTATACAAATGAATGAAAATAATTTTGAAAATCCATTAAAATTTGATCCAGAAAGATTTAATGATGAGAATAAATCATATATGGATCCAATGTCTTTTGTATCGTTTGGACATGGTCCTAGAATATGTATTGGTATGGTATTGAAGAATCTATATGTAGTTAATAAATTTAATATATATTTTTTTTATCTATTTTTTTAGGATCTCGTCTCGCTCTAATTGAATGTAAAGCGCTTTTATTTAACATCTTATCAAATTTTAAACTTAATGTATGCCAAAAAACAAAAATTCCAGTTGAATTGGAACCGATTAATTTTCCGGTTACTGTTAAAGGAGGATTTTGGGTTCAAATTGTGCCCCGCAAATAAATTCTATACACATTTGTAAGACAACTATCAACCGTTTACTGTAGCTAATCACTTAAAAAATTTCATTTTTTGTACATTATTCAACTTTTTCCCCCAAAATCTTATTTTTTTTATTGTATCGGTTTTATCAGAATGATTTCATCTTTTGGCATTTCAAAAACGACTACGAGTATAATAAATAAGGACTTGAAGTATTTAAAATTTCAATAAGATGAAATATTTTTAAGGAGTAATTTTGTGCGTTTTACTTTTATTTCGTTAAAGCTATTATACAATTTGATTGTCATTGTTGTTATCTTGAAGTAATAAATATACTTATGTATGTATGTACCTATATTGTATAGAAAATAACATTTTTGTAATTATAATAAATTTTTATTACACTAATTTTGGTATTTTATTTTTTTGCATGTTTTTATCTTAATTTTAACACAATATTATACAAGGAAGTTCTGTTTATAAAAATCTTGTGAAAATTATCAAATAAAATCAAAACATTAAAAATATCTCCATTAATTTACATAATAAATATAAAACCGTATTGTATATAAAGTGTTACTATTGTTGTGAATGTGTTGTGAATGTGTACTTAATATGTTAGTGTATAAATGTCTGTGTAGTCAAGTTCCTTAATAAATTTTTGTAAAAAATGTTTCGGAAAAATATATTTATGCAAATTTTTTGTTGCTATTTTTGTTCTTAATTTTTATTATGTTTTAGCATTTGTTAATTCTAAATTGACCGAAAATCTAATAATATATGTTTACATTTATTTATAGACATAATGTATGTAAAAAATTTTGTTAATATTTAAGTACGTGTGTACAAACGATTAGTCCTATAAATATTTTTAAGCAGATTTCCAGTGAAATTTAAAAAATGCTGATTAAAAGCTGTGATTTCCGTCTGGGGATCTGTTTAAAAGATTTCTGTAATGATTTTTATTTCGAAACTATTACTATAAAAGTATTTGGGCGTCTATACCAAAATCTAGACCTAAAGTCAATTTAACTTATTCAGTTATTAATCGGCATTTTGGTGAATGCTCTTTGTCAAACTCTCAAAACTCAGAAAAGTTAATTGAACACTGATACTTCCAACTTGAATAAGTCATAACAGTCAGTATTTTTATTTTAATTTTAACTATAAATTTGCATTTAAATTTCTTACGGAGCAAATTTAAGCAATTTGAAATTTTTGCCCGTTTGTTGATATTAATACGTCATATACAATTTTATTTTATTATAGAACATATTTTCTATGTATCTCCCATATTATGTTGGAACTATTGTTTATAAAACTTTACAATTTAATTATCATCTTCACCTACTAAATTCTTAGAAATTACAAACTTATGAAATTTGTACTTTAATAATAAATATTTTTGCAAGGAAAGTTAAAATATACCTTATTCAATTGCCATAGTCTGTAATTTAGTTATTACAAATATTTAATTTTTGACCTTTTTAAAAGTTCTATTAAGCTCAAATTCAAATTGTTAAAGAAATGTGCTATTTTAGAATCCATTATACTTTTATATAAGAACTGTTATTTTAATACGAGTAATGGAAAATATTTATGGTACATAAAAAATTGAACAGATGTTTTAAACGATTTCGAATTTCTATGCTTACGAGTATATAAAATGTATGTATGAGTAATTATGTTTGATAATTTTTAAAAATTCTGACAATGTTATTAAGGTCTGAACGCATTTGAATTTATATTCAGTATCATGACGTAATTGTAAACAAATAAATAAATATTACGTGAACTAATTGTAAATTAGATTAAATTCGAAATTGGTAATTGAAAATAATTATATATGTATGTATGTATGTAGTTTAAAAACTAATGGAACAAAATATTGAAATAACTAAATGTAAAGGAAAATTAGGTGATTTAAAAACAAGTAATATAAATTATAAGGAATTATTAACTAAGAAGTTTTGTTTAGAGCTAATTAATTATGGTACGGTAGGTTCGTCACCTATCTAGTAACTCAATGACGTAAGAAACTTGTTCATGGTTATCTACAATATCATGCACCAACCTCTCCCCCACAGGAGCCAAGTAGGATACAAAAAAAAAATTAACTAAGGAGTTTTTTTTAGGGGCTAGTGATTAAGGAATGTAAAATAAATTCACTTTTTAGTCACTTGGTGCGCCTGCACCCATAAAATTTGAATATTAAATTTTTCTTTTATAAAATTATTTGTTATATTTTCGAATCATATATAGTAAGACCGATCATAATTTCTTATTTTATACTATTATCCTTTTCTATTTTTATTTCTTATCAACATTCTTTTACAATTTAATACCCAATAAATATTAAAGCTGTTTCATAAAATTTATTCAATACTAAAGTAAAATAAAAAAAAAAAAACCAGGCAACAAATTTGAAGTTAAATTTACTACCTTAATATTATAAACCTTACGTATGTATATAGGTTTTATAATGTATATGTATATGTAGGTTTTAGAATGCAATATCTAGTAAAATTGGGCTTAAATAATCAGTTTTTATCTTTCAAACGTTATTATTGTAATAATATGTTATGGTTAAAATAAAATTATGGATAAGTATGTATAATATTATGCACCTATATTTACTGAACTGCTATACTTTGACAAGTTATCGGTTTTTGTTTAACAATAATGTATCTTCAACTGAAAGATTTACAAAATATTTAACTTAAATCTTTTGCCTTAAAATTTTTCTTAACGAGTGTACGTGGCATAAACCCTACGAAAGTTCTAGTTATTTATATTTACGATATAAATTGATTTTATAAAATAAATTTTAATTGTTACCGTGCATAAATTATTAAATGTTTTAAATAGAAAAATTATTAATAATAGTTCCTTAATAATTTGTTCTAGGCCCCTAGAAAAATTCCTCTTCTATAGAAAACGGGGAGGGGAGGATAGAGTAGTTAAGTTGATTTATTGCTAAAGTTCTGAATATGAGCGTAACTTTTGTTTTAGTGTGTATATTAGTGTTTTAATCCGTCAACTGGATTTTGACCAAAAGTGAATAAATAATTTTTTAGGTAAGATTAAAGGTCATAATATAAAAGAAAATAAAAATATTCAAACCTTTACTAAAATAGCTCAGCATTTTTATGGATAATTTTTTTTTTGATATAATATACATATGTATATGCATACAATATAATATAATAATATTGTCTATAGAATAAAGTATTTTATTATAAAAATATAATAAAAAATAAATGATCATAAATTTAGTCATCGCAATGACGCTTATGCTTTCAGTTTTATTTTACATTTTTTATATATTTATAAATATTTAATAATTTACTTTCTAATCACGTTTTATCAAATACGAGAACCTACCTCTAAATATACAAAAAATAAATATGAAAAGTAATATCAAGGACATACATAAATAAATACAGGCATAATAAAGTGAGAAATAAAAGAATATCCTTTAAATATGCTTTTTCCTTTTGTTTTATTAGAAATTTATTTGTTTTTCTCATAATATCGTATTCCTTATATTCTTAAAACATATTTTTTCGTTGAAGCGATAAATTAATATCATTTTGTATACAAGATTGAGCTACTAGATGCGCACACGTACATAGATAATGTCTATGCCATAGGAATTTTTTTCGTATAAATAGTTGAAAGAAATAACTTTTATGAATATACATAAGTCATATGAGACTTATAACTTTTAAGTACTTTTACGATATTAAAACTGTCAATTTATGGAGTTTATAAAAATAACATCATACTCGTATATGTATAGAAAATGGTGATTTAAATTAATGCTAGTAAACGAAAATTTTTAGGTAAAATTGGATTTAAATATAATGGGAGGCTAAAAAGAATTGAAAAAATTGTTCAAACTACAAAAAAATTAGACTTATGTTGTGTAACTTACGTAAAATTTTGTAGAAAACTATTCCAGCTACACTGCAAATTTTATGTAACATTGTTTCCAGTATTCCAACTGTCGAATGTTGTGAGCGAGAGAAATAATTGAGAATGAAAATCATTGAATTTTTTCTATTTAAACTTACATACTTTTCGACAAAAAATGTCGCTTTACTGTGCCATTCATATGCATGTATTTCGCATCAGAACGACAACTGGAATATGAAATTCAAGTCAAAACGACATTTTTTGTCGGCAACTAGAATAAAGTTCAATGCTTTGATCTACATATATATGAATTGAACGGTGTTACTTTTTTACTTTTTTAAATGATTTATAAAATTAATTGTATATGAACGCAATGTATATAATATGAAGCACTTGAAAGGGAACTCATTTTACTGAAATATTATTTAAAGACTATTATTTTAACTAAGAATAACTGATGTATGTTTGTGTTTCTCTTATATTTTCAAAGTCTCGCTTTAATTTTTAACTAACATACTAATTTACTTTTAACAGTATATCGATTACATATTTTTCGAATATTTGTGTTTTTATTCTATTAAATTTTAAACCTTTTTGTATTCTCACTACTCACTAAATTTCTTTAAAATAAGTGTTTCTGTATTTTTTTTTACAAAATTTTACTTTAAAACCCTTATTTGGTTTTCTCTACATTCTGAATATTTCTCAAATTGTTTGATAAGATAAAAAAATTTAAATTTAATATTATGCCGGTTATCATTATACTTATAAATAGAAATTGGAATTAAAATAAAATAGTTTATTTTATTATAAAAGCAAGTTTTTTTTATCAAATATTGTTATAAAAAGAGAAAGATTAAGAAAGTATAAGGGAAAAAGTCTGTAATCACAAAAGTTATAGACTGAAGGTTATTATATTATATATGTACGTATTATGTAATGTATGCAAAATTTGTCTGAAATTAACTTTAAAATAAAGTTTTTTATTTACAAAAATATTAAAAAAAGTAAAGGAGAGGGGGGACTTTCGATAATTCAGACATGCACTGAAAGTTCTAAATTAAATCTTAAAATAATTTTCATATATATTTACAAATCTTAAAACTGAATATTTTAGTTTTCCAGATTTGTAATATACTTAAATTCAATTATAGTCCCTTTCTAATTTATTAAAATGTTTTACATACATATGTATAGTTATAAAAGTAAGCGGTTTGGATTTATTGAATATGCTCAATATTAAGACCTAAATGAATTAAGAATTAAAGAATAAATTTAAAAAAATATTAAGTTCAACCTCTTAATTGAAATGTTTTCTATTCAATTTGATAAGATGCTGATATAACTATCATACGTTTTTAAACATTTAAATTAAAATTAAAGAGACAATGCCCTACTTAATATATTAAGAATCTGTGTGTATGTGAGCTTAAAACTAAACATCTCGTGAACTATAATTTTCCCTTTAAAGTCATCCTTTATAATTTTAGATCTACATCACAAATAAACAAAAATTTCTTTGATAAAAGTTTATGTACAATTTTGTTTGTTCCTATGTTTTTTATTTTGTTAACATACATATTTACATATATATATATATATATATATTTACATATTTATTTATAAATTTCTATTTTCATCTCACGTTTATATTATTTATATTTATATATAACGATTTTTTCTTAAATGTATTATTATTATCTTCATAGTCAATTTGATTCCCATATCTATAATTTAACACAGTTTATGCTTTTTAACTTATTGAAGTTGCCTATGATGCGAAGCTTAAATAAATGAGAGGTACTCATAAATTTATGAGCTAAAATATTTGATTACAATATGTACATATACTTATATGAACGCATGTAGTAGGTATTTTCGTATACAAGATGGTTATGTTGTTTCCATAAACGTAAAATTTTTGATTTTCTCATTTTTTCATACATACTTATTGTTATTATACGAGTATAGTCTTACATAACAAGGTAATATGAAAATACTAAAATAAGGTAAATTTTTTAGAGGAAAAATTTAATATAAAAAAGGAAACAGAAAAATAAGAATTTTATAAAATTACTTTAATCAAAGAATTGAACGAGAGTAAACCTAAATATTTGTGACACAAGAATAAGCATTATTTTAAAATCACAACTTATCAAAAAATTATGTTAAAAATAAAAATAATTTTATTCTGTTCAAATATGAAAATTCCTTGCCATATCTAAAATTTGAAGTAATATGAATTTGTAATATAAATTTAGTAATATAAATTTTGGGCTATGATCATTTCCACTTTAAATGTGTACAATTTAATTGGAGATGAGGTTTTTGCATATTTCTGAACGAATTTTGAAAATTTAAAATTTGTAGACCTAATTTATATGTAAACAGTTATTGTTTTTTGATAGTAGTTCTAATAGTAAATTCAATATCGTGAACCACTGTATTTGAAAATATCTTGCAGTATATTTCAGGGGTTTTAAAAAATCGATTCCTTCATAAATTTCTTTCTTATCTACAAAAGTATTTACTTATAAATTTTGGCAAAAAGCTTGTGCCTTACTTTCGTGTTAAAATTCTTGTACATAAAATTTTCAAAATTTTCATAAAATTCTCATATATGGGTATAGATAATGGTACTTTCTAAAAGAAACTTTGAGAGTAATCTAGATACATTTACAAACATAATGTAAAATGTAACGCATTTTGTGCGTTAAACATTTACAAAAAAAAAAAAAACAATCAAAAGTAAAGAAGTGTTAACTTTCTTCTTTTTATTTTCTGACATTAGGGAATTATTATGGTAACATTTTTTTTATTGCTTTTCATCTTCAATATTATTTTATTGCATGAATGATTTTATTTTAAATGATCTTAAGTATATAAAGATAAAAATTTTAAGATTTTATATTCTCTATTATAGCTACATATAGCTATATAAATCTATACAAGAAATTCCTTTTTATTTAATATTATTTTCGTTAAAAAAACATTTTCCAATACAAAAAATAAGAAAACAAAATAAAAGGAAACTTTTGTTTTTTTTTTGTTATTTAAAGCAAACATTTATCACTCTTTTGTTAATGTAGTTTAAGATTTTGTTTGCTTTTCGAAAATATTTTAAAAAGATTATGTTGAAAAAGTGTTTTGTTATAAAATCATTCTTTTCTTTAGTAAGTATACGTTTATCTACTTGTATTAATTTTATACGTTTATCTACTTGTATTACTTATATTCTTAATATTGCTATATTATGTTTATTTTTAAAAGAATCTTTCGGGCGTTATGCAATAGTTGAATTAGTTCCAGACTTCTTTAAAAAATCTTATTTATTTTAATTTGACAAATACATATTGTAATTGCTGAGTTATCTAGTTCTATTCTTCCTTAAAATTTCCTGTTTTTAATTTGATCCTAATATTCTTACTTCGGTAATCAGAAATAATAGCTTAGATCTAAAATAAAATACAAAATAAAAATTATAATTAAATTATTTGGCAATTTTTTGATTTGTGATTTCTTGGCATGCATCAATCAATCACCAACATTTCCACAAACCTTTTATTTTTGCGGTTTAAATACCTTGTACTTTAATATACTCGTATATTAAATGTAGAAAACGGTTCTAATTTTTTTTTTTTTATTTTTAGACATTTTAACATAACATTATATAAATATTAAATATTTTTGTAAATTTCGCTAAAAATATTGAAATCCAAAATACTTTCAATTTATTTTGATAGCTCATAAAAATTCCACAATTTTAATAAAATTTAAATAACAAGAGTAATATAAGAGGAGTTTTTTTTTAAATATAAAAGGATAAAATAGCACTATGTGTTTAAAGTAATGCATGAGCATAGTGCCTACAAACAAAATCATATACATACACATGTATGTGAATTTCGCTGAGCTCAACTTCTTTAAAGTACTTCATAAAATCAATTTTTAAATTTTTTTCCTTTGAAGATTTGTTTTTTCCTTGAAATCTCAGTTAAATGGTTAGATGAAACCAAAGAAATACACAAAGAGATACTTTAGATTCTAGAATATTAAAGATAAGAATTTTTTTTTTTATAAAATTCCTGAAAATAGATATTGCATACCGCTGAAATTTAAATTTATTTATAAAGGTATTTATTCACTAGATGTACGTTATGTACCAAAGACAGTATAATGTTTTTTAAAAGATATGCAACCTTATGTACATATATGTAATTTAATATATTTGTTTACTATATTAAGTTACCATATTAAATTTCATTAAATTATACATTATCGGAACACAAATAGTTTAGTATTCTCTTATAAACTTAGTTAATTTAAATCAATATAAGGATAGTGGAATTATATTTTTGAGTACTCATATTTTTGTAGTACCTTACCTACCTTGACCTGACCATTGGTCAGGCAGTGGTTATGGCACCGGTCCTTTAACCGAAGGGTCTCGGGTTCAAACCCCGGTCAGGTCACTATAAAAATTATATTCAATATTATTATAACTTAATATACAATACTAATAAATATTATACAAGTAATTTTCAAATATTCGTAATATTCCATATTAAAAAAAAAAACTAAGAAAAATAAACAGTAAATATTAATAACCTCAAATAATTAATATAAATAAAACTACGGCAGATTAGTCACCTACCCCTAGTTAAACCCTATGACGCTATGAAACTAGTGACGCTATGAAATCATGCACTAGCCCTATGCTCCTTCTAGGAGTGAATAAGAAAAAAAAAAAAAACCTACCTTGAACTGGAAAAAATTATTAGTAGAACAAACATTTTGGCGCTTGAGCATTATACCTATCTAATTATAAAAAAAACCTCTAATCTTTGAAATTTGTTTTAAGTTAACAAATTTTTAACCTTCTCAAATATTGTTAAACTTATAAACTGTGCATTGAAAATTCACATAAAATTTAGTGGAAAAATTTGAATTTACTTATCTATACCTACTTTCTTTAAAATATTTCATTATAAATAATGAAAGCCATTATTCTTGTTTAAATGTTTGTTAGAGTGGGAACTCTTAGTTAGGCTCCAGCTTCAATATCTGATTGCGCATAACATGTACAATTTACGAAGCACTAATTATTGTAGGTACTGTAGGTACTTACATAAAGTTACATTTCAATTTAAAATTTGGGAAGAGATTTAAAATTTTACCGAGTTGCATAGTTGATCCAATATTTATTGATAAGTATGCATAGGTAAGAACATAATATATGTACATGCGAGATTAATCCTATTAGTATGATCTTATACGAATTGCAGAGTTGCATTGTGTTTGTACATACATACATATGTACATATGTACATATTTAGGAGTATGAAGTTATTTGGTTATCGGGGGTGCTCTCCAAGGCTATCAATCATAATTCTATAATTAAGTTTAGTTATACTGTTGTTCTTACCTTAATTAAGCTGAATTTGTTAACGCTAAAAGATTTCTTCATTGTTAATGCAGTTAAGTATACCCGTGCATTTGAATTTTTTGAATGCCTGGAACAATTTTTCGGTAATCGATAATAATAAGTGTCTTCAATAAATCCAATTTATAACACTAAAAGAACACAGTTTTCAATATTTTTTTTAATTTTATTTAAACTTAAGTATATTATTTAAAAATTACGAGAATAAAAAGAAGAATAAAAAGAATAGGAAAATCATAGTTGTATTTTAATTTCTTTCTTCGATAATCGAGACTTATTCTTAGCGATGATCGATTCTCGTTTTAAAATTTTGGCACAACATAACAAAATGTACGTGTGTTTGCATAATCAATACGTGTTATCAAGTGAACAGCTGATTGATAATACAAACGTCGCTTTTGAAGGTTAATTTAATAAATAAAAAATAATTTACTCAAAAACAACGAGGAGAGAGGAGGTTCCATTTAATTTGGAAAGATATTTAAAGCGCTTTAGAATATTTCGCATAATTTTTTATCTTTGGAATAATGTTTTTAAATTCTTTTAAAACTTTAAGGTTAATGAAAAATTAAACTATTTTGAAAATTTATTTGAAACTATAAATTATGTATTTGTTTTTTGTAGATCTTATTCACAAAAAGTTGCGTTTAACCCAAAGGTACGTCAAACAAAAATTAATAAAATTTTGATCGCAAATCGTGGCGAAATTGCATGTCGTGTTGTAAAAACAGCGAAACGTTTAGGTGTTCGTACAGTAGCAATTTATTCCGATGCAGATGTTAATTCTATGCATACAAAATCGGCTGATGAAGCGTATCATGTTGGTAAAGCCTCGTCACAAGAGTCTTATTTAAAAGGAGAAAAAATTTTAGATATTGCAAAGTATAGCGGTTGTCAAGCAATACATCCAGGGTATGGATTTTTATCAGAAAATGTAGAATTTGCCGAATTATGCGAAAAAAAGGGTGTAATATTTATGGGACCGCCGTCTAGCGCAATACGTGACATGGGAATAAAGAGTACATCAAAAGCTATAATGGATGCTGCTGGTGTACCCATAATTCGTGGTTATCATGGTGAAGATCAATCTAATGATAAATTATTAGCTGAAGCGGACAAAATTGGTTTTCCATTAATGATTAAAGCTGTAAGAGGTGGTGGGGGCAAGGGAATGAGAATTGTTCATAAACGTGATGAATTTTTGAACGCATTAGATTCGGCTCGGAACGAATCCAGTAAGGCATTTGGAGATAGCGCGGTTCTTCTAGAAAAATTTGTGTCATCTCCACGTCATGTTGAAGTTCAAGTTTTTGGAGATATGCATGGAAATTATGTTTATTTATTTGAAAGAGATTGTTCAGTACAAAGAAGACATCAAAAAATTATTGAGGAAGCTCCAGCGGTCAGTATATGTTTTGATTAAATGGAAACGGGCGTGAATACTAATTTTTCAATTTTTATTGCTAGCCTGGTCTTTCTGAAGATCTTAGAAAAGAGTTGGGAGAAGCCGCAGTAAGGGCGGCGAGGGCAGTTAATTATGTTGGTGCTGGCACCGTAGAATTTATCTTAGATAAAAATGATTTATCTTTCCACTTTATGGAAATGAATACAAGATTACAGGTTGAGCATCCAATAACAGAAATGATAACTGGAACTGATTTAGTGGAATGGCAAATTAAAGTAGCTGAAGGGGGAACTCTACCACTGTCGCAGGAAGAAATTATTCGAAAAGGGCATGCTTTTGAAGCAAGAATCTATGCTGAAAATCCAAGGTAGACATTTAAAATATGTAATATAGAATACATAGGGCATTCTTTAAATTAAATAATTTTTTAGAAATGATTTCCTTCCTGGTGCTGGTCCTCTAAAATTTTTGTCGACCCCATTACCAACTTCATTTATACGAATTGAAACTGGTGTTCAGCAAGGTGATGAAGTTTCTGTTCATTATGATCCAATGATAGCAAAACTAGTAGTTTGGGGTAATAATAGAGATCAAGCTTTGAATACACTAATCGAAAGTTTAGGCGAATATCAGGTAAAGAGAAATAATATAATATCGAATTTGATAAAAAACCGTTTGCTTTAACTTATGCATTTTAAAGATTACAGGACTTGACACTAATATAAATTTTTTGATTGATTTGGCATCTCATTCGGAATTTCAAGCTGGAAATGTTCATACAGGTTTTATTGCTGAACATATGAGTTCATTATTTCCTGAACTGTCTATTTCCGAACACATATTGCTGGAAGGGGCTGGCGCAATCTTGCTAAATGAAATTAAAACTACTAAAATGAATTCAAATTCTAGTGATCGAGATCCTTTTGCATCTACCAATATGAGAATAAATCATGATGTAATACGAAACTACAAACTCATATTTGATAATGCAGGTAAGAATTTTATTATTTCATCGCTTTATTATGTTTTCAAGTTATTTAAAATTTTGGTTATCAGAATATCTCGTTACTATTAAATTAAGTGATGGAGAAATGGAAGCAAAAGTAAATGATGGTAAATGGAAACAAATTAAGATGGGATTTTTGAAAGATGAAAATGAACGTTTTTCTGTACGCAGTTCTATTAATGGATTTTGTTCAACTTTTACAGCAGTTATAGATAACGACGAAATCTCAGTGTTTAAGAAGGTAAAATATGAAATGTTTACCAAATTTGTACTCTGAAAAAAGTTTTTTGTGGTTTTTTTAATTAATTTTCATTCTTGTTGTTTAGGAAGGAAAATACACTTTAAAGCTACCTCAACCTAAATTTTTATTAGCTAAAGATGGTGCTGGTGGTGCAAGTCAATCAAAAATAGTTTCTCCAATGCCTGGTGTTTTAGAGAAGTTGTTTGTGAAAGCGGGTGATTCAGTTAAAAAAGGCGATCAACTGGCTGTTATAATTGGTAATCTTAAAAAAAAAAGTAAAAAATTTGATGTTATTTTTATGTATTGTATTTTTAGCTATGAAAATGGAACATGTTTTGAAAGCACCGAAAGATGCTAAAATCAAATCGGTTTCCGGAAATTTGGGTAAAAATATTGCTAAAAATGAATCTGTGGTTGTATTTGAAGATTAACCTAAAAACTAGTACCTTATTGAATTATGTAAAATCAATCAATCAATTTAAAGTACCAGATTTATTGCATTTAAAAATGATCGTGTTCGAACATCTTATTTTTTCATATTTCTTATTGTTAACCAAGAATTTATAAAAAATTAATTTTATAAATGTTATATTTTTTCAATTTGTTTATGTTGTTAAAAAAGTGAAAAAGTAAAATGCTTTATATTTTGTATTTTAAATACGAGTATATATTTTTTTAATAAATTTGTTAGGAGAAACTATGTAATTTTTTATTATAAATATTCTAAAATTAACGTAACTTGTTAAAAATTAAACTGATAGTTTAAAAAAGTTTCTGAGCTATATTTTATACTTATGAATATTTGAATCAATACCTAGATGTAAATGTTGTACCAACTTTATGGTGCAATATTCTTTTTGGGGGTGCCGTAACTAGTATAAAAGTTCATATTAACATATAATCACGTTTCTGTACTTAAAAATTTTCACGTAGGTTACCGTCATTCCTTCTATATTAGTTAAATATCCCTTATTGAATTAAGTACTTAAAAGAAATTTCAATTGCAAATAATATAATAGGACCTTCATTAGATAATATAAATTTTACTTACATTATTAACAAAATTTAACTTAATTAAGATACATAATTTTAAAATCCTGAAAATTAAGGTGTTATGAACGATTTTTCAAAATTAAAGGAACCAATAGATAAATATAAAATGATTTTTTGTTAGTGCAAACTAAATTGGACATTTCATATAAAAAGTATTTTATAACGATATTGAAATTTCTATTCAACGATATTAAAATTTCCTTAATATAATACAAATTAATATATTTATATATAAAAATTGTTGAATTCTGTTCTTTTAAATACTAAAAATAGTATAAAATTTTAAATAGTTAAAATCAATTAACTATAGTATCGCGTAAAATAAAATGTGTAGTATAGCAAATGTTCTTCATGCATAATACGGCTTGTTCATTTGTTTATTCAAGAATCAAGCGCTCTTGAATAACCATAAGAATTAGCTCATAGAGAAAGGTCTTAAAATATTTGAAATACATACATATTTCAATTTTGAATTATGATATTCAATTAATTGCTATTTTCTTTTTGTAAATTTTCTATTTAAGTTTCATTAAATTTGAGGGGACATTTTATAAAAAGTTGGTTAACAAAGTTTACTTAATTAAATATAAATTAAAGCATACCTTTTTCTTTATAAATATATATACATATGTACAGCAACAAGAAGTGCTAAGTTGCTTTTTAGTATACCTAAAAATATTGATTTGGATAGTGATAAATAAGTTGGGTCGAGTGGAATTGTTACTTAACTTTTTATGTATAAATTTTTAATGATCTTTTTTTTTATAACCAGTTTTATTTTATTTTGTCCAGTAACGAAACAATTGTTGATAACTTTTTCAGTGGCATTCATTTTATATTCGAAATATTGGTTTAATTTTTGCTTTTTTTCTAAAAAAATTTTCAATACATTTTTTTTTATTCTCAAAATTGAAAAGGAAAACTTTTTCATTGAATTGTTATATAAATTTTTTTGAGAAAAGAAAAATTTTCTATTGTGCGCACACATATTATACCATAGTCAATGCAAAATGTATGAATCTATATGAATATTTGATATTATGTGCTTATATATATATACAAGTATACATACACTTTTATTATTATTAGAGTCCTTTTTGCTTTTTTTTATAATATAGTTCTTTTCCTTTGTTTTTTTGATTTTTCTTAAATTTTTAATGGAAATCTTTCTTTGGTCATGTACATAATTTTGAATCATTGACAGAAAGAAAAAAATAAAATTTAAATATGGGGCATTGGAGAACTTACAAGTTATGTATATTGAAAGGAAATATGAAAAATTTTTTAACTCATTTGGGATTAAGATTTAAGCAATAAAAATATAAAAATAAAAATATGAAAGGACATTAAAAAATTTTTTTTTTACTTTTTATTTTTTTTTTGTGATCTGTGTTCATGTATGTAAGTATGTAGATTTGTATAAAATTTCAAATAAAAAATGATGACACTGTAATATCGAAAAATTGTTAAAATATTTAAAATAATTTGAAGGGAAGAGAACAGGAAATGGATATTAGAGGTAATGACAATATAAAAAGTGGTTTGTGTTGACATATTTAAAAAAAAAATTTGTTAAACAGATAGATAGACAATGGTTTGAAAGAAGGGTTTGATTAGAATACTTTTATTGATTAGTATATTTTGTTGAAAAGAATCCAAAATTTATTGTCTACTTTTATAAAAACAGTCGAAATTGGATAAATTAAGCATTTTTTGATTCGTATTATTAGGTGGCAACTCTCGGTGTTATGTCACATGAGATTTGCACTAGTTAAAAATTGAACACTATGCATGAGATATATTTTGAATTCTTTCAGTGATGGGTTACAATTAGTTGGTAGGTCAACTTCGTTATAAAAAATTTTTTTATATCCTACATATAATTAAATTTTAATTTTTTTATACCTAGATTAGTTTGTTTGAAGTTTAACCAATTAATTTTTTGACAAAATTAAATTGATATGCTTCAAATTACAACAATTAATATATTTGTAACTTTTAAAAGAAATTTTATTTTAACATTTCTGTATGAAACCTTGCTGTTCGTGAATAATTCTGTACATAAATTATTGCTAAAAAATTGAACATCTACAACATTTGAATAATTGTAAGTCAGTCAAAAGCCGCACCAAATTTTTATTTTATCCGATATATAAAATATTTTATCTGCCTAACAAAGTTAAATATTATTATCGTATACTTTTTGTTTTGATACAACAATTTCATTCTCTTTGGAACCGATTGCAAATCTTTACTGCTGTATTCTAGAAGCTCCTGTGTAAAATTGTATAGAAAAAAACTATAATTGAAATTTTAAATACATTACGGACAATAGATAAATTAAGTATTGTGTTTTTACTAATGAATTTTCGAAAATTATAAATTATAATAAATAAGGTATTCGATATTCAGAGTATCGAATATTTTAATTTTTACTGCCATGTTACAAATTGAATATTGAATTTTGTATGTTACGCACTAGTCGTTACACACTTGTTTGAGCGAATTCAATACATTTATGTAGGATTGCCCGATATTTTATTAAATATTTCTATTGGGAATATGCATATTTTTAGATATAAGTAAAAGTTTATGATCAACTAATGGATATATAAAAGCATATACATGTATTATACAAATAAAGATTTTATAAAAAACAACAACTAGAAAAAAAATGAATAATTTTTCTTAATGTTATGTTTATTATGTGGGAAATGTTTTTCTCTATATCAAGGGTTCTTTTACATCATAAAAAAAAATTTTTTTTTTACTCAATCATATACTTATATATTACTATATTTATGATTATATGTATATAAAATATATATTTGAATATTATGATTATAATAATATTATAAAAGTAAAAATTTATTTTTTTTTAAGAATATTAGAATGTAAAATTTAGAGTACCTTCCCATAGAAATATATTTTGTAATCTTGTGTAAATATATTAATAAATTTGTAAAAATATATTATATATTTACGATAATTATAGTCTATATACAGTCTGTTTTGCATATAAGGTGACAAATAATTTCAGGGATTATTCTTTGATCAATTTCCACCAAAAAATTATGTGAATTGTGGGGGGTATGCAGATATACTTGTTTTCGAAATATAGCCTGCTGAAAAAACAGGTACCGGACTTCCTTCATATAAATGAATGCTTATAATTTCGGAACCATACAACAAAGACTTATTATTAGGAACTTGTTTTACAAGATTGTTCTTTATTAATTTGATTTGAGCCATAGTTGTCGAGATACATTTCGTCAATGTCAGAATTTTTTTTGTTTTTTTTAAAATTATTTTTAAAGAACTTGAAATTTTTTGAAAATTTTTGTTATTTTCTTTTGTTTTTTTTTTGTTTTCGATGCGCTACGATGAGATCTGAAAGTTAATCCATATAACATTTTCCTCTATCTCTCATAATTTTGCCAGCAAAACTTGTTAAATGTGCTAAAAAACTTGTTGCCCCCCACCCATATAACTTTTTGCTGGAAATTGATCAAAGACTCATCCTTGAGATTGTGAAGAAAGCCACCTCATGCGTCACACCCTGTATATTGTATAAGAATATTATAGAAGTAAATATATTTGCATAGTTTTAGGATATATGCATAAAATTAAATTGATAATTTTTGTTAGATTGTATTTTTATCATTAAAATGATTATCTTATAAGATATCAACATATTTAATGGGATATCTATAATATAATCATAATAAATTACATAATTAAAGGATAATATACATATATTTATTTTATAGATTAACTTAATTTTAATATTATTATAAAATATTATTAATATTATTATTTAAATAATGGAGTAAGAAGAATTAATGTTAATAAAAATTGGATTATTTGATTTAATTTTTTAATTTTTAATTTGAATTTTAATCCTAAATTTTTTTTCTGCATTTAACGAGGTATGATTATTTCACGTATATTTATGAAAAATTCAAAAGTATAAAAAAACATGGGGATTATTTTGATAAAACATAAAATATAACAAATATATTTATAGAAATTTTTAATAAATATAAATGGTAATGAATTTTTTCATAATTTTAGAATATAAAAAAAAATCAGTATATTATTTAATCAATTTAAAATTTACAATCAATTCTGATAATAAAAATAAAGAGCAAATAAAATGTAAATATTTTTTACATAATGGCTAATTATTAAATCGAAAATTGGCTTAATTCGATTTACGATTCGCAAGTGATTTTGGTATTATCCAACAAAATCGATAGTTTCTCCAAAGTGGACATTTTAATGATTTAAAATAATTTATACATTTGAATGTATATTAAGGAAACGCTTATTATTAATTTTTTAAGAAAATTAATGCATAAATGGATTGCAGAAGATTTTTAGCAGAAGGTGACAGACCAGTATATTGTTTTAGCTAAAATTTAAATATTGCTCTTTTTCAGCATATACTATTTCACTTGATATAACTGAAGTTTGCAAGGCAATAGGAAAAAAATCGTCTCTTGAAAAATGAAACAGTGTACGATCGGTATATGATGTATACATTATACACTGTTTCATTTCTTCAACTGGCGAAATTATGTCCTATAAAAAGAGATGTCGAGTGAAGAGAATCGAAACAAATTATGCATAAATGATGAATTTTATCATTATCGTGAATCGAGATTCTGAATCTTATTATTCTATTAAAATTTTAGTGAAAGAGTGCAGTT